GCGGGGCATGGCCCCCCACGAACGCTCGCCCCGCAGGAGGCATTGGACGCCCAAAGTTGGCACGGAAAAATGGGCACAGCGCCCAGCAACAAGTGTTGCCCCAAACAAACAGCGGCCGCTGCTGGACAACCGGCCTTGTGCCTCACACGCAGACAGGCCAGGGCGGCGCGGACAGCGAGTCCTGTTCAGAGTTAACAGGAGCTGTTGCTGGGCAGCGTACTCATTCTTAGGGGAGCGAACACTGACATAAACACAAAGACTCGGAGGTCCGCGCAGACCTCCGCCTTGTTGTTCTCCTATCAGAGCTTGCCTCTGTAGGAATGCTAGCGGATTCAGATGGTTAGGTGAGGTATGGCACCGATTTCGGCGGCACGCCCGAGTCCCCGGGTGCCCGGGTGCCGGGTAGCCCTATAGCCCTATAGTCATATAGCCCTATCGCCCCATAGCCTTATAGCCCTATACCCCTATAGCCCTATAGCCCCATAGCCCTGTATTGGAGGCTTGGCAATTGGCACCAACACCAACACGGGGGGGTGCCTCCACCTGGGGAAGATGATCCCAGATTTTGGTGTTGGTAGTAACCTTTCGGCAACCTAGGAAGCCCGAATATTACCACCACCACCACCACCACCACCGAGATCGGGATCGCCACTCCTCGGTGGAAGCACACCGCCGAGATTGGTGCTGGTGTCCACCTCCAGGCCTGCGACTGTAGCTCCAGAAAATGTATGACTGGGGCTCTTTCCTCCGGTACCATGCTTATTTTTTTTTGTTCTCCTGATTCTTTCCGTGCCCATGCCCCAGCCTCCCGCAACTTCTCCTCCCGCATCATCATCATCATCATCATCATCATCATCATCATCATCATCATCACCATCACCATCACCATCACCATCATCATCATCATCATCATCATCATCATCATCATCATCATCATCATCATCATCATCATCATCATCATCATCATCATCATCATCATCATCATCACGCCGACACGGGGCACAGGCGGCCGAGAAGGGGGCTCCTCCCCCCGCCCCGGCCTCCCGCGACCGCCACGGCGAGGGCGCGACGGGAGCGGAGCCTGCCCCTGGCCGGGACCTGCGGCCCGGGCACCGCCGGCCCCCGCGTCGCGCAGAGGGTCTCGGGGCCCACAGGACGACAGCCTTGGGTCGGGCATGTCCTCCTACAGGCGGAGCTTGCTGGAAAAAATTGTTTTTGTTGGCTTGAAATAATAATATGTTGGTGAAAAAATGAGATTCGTGGTGGTCCCTAGGCTGATTTTGGCCTACAAAAGTAGCACTTGTGTTTATGTATATATATATATATACATATGGATTTTCAAAATATTATGTGAGAAACCAAACAATAATAACAACAACAGCAACAACAACAACAACAATAAAAATGTTAAGACTGTTCGCCCTTATATGCTCGAGTGTCCAATAAAGCGTATTTCCAAAACCCTCGATACCCGCCCTCTTCGTCTTCGATCGAACCCCTTTGGGGGGTATACCTGTCTTCCCTGCAGACCGGGCCCCGGCAAGCGGCGGGGCGGCCGCGGACCGTCGGCCTGGCCAGCGGCAGCGCTGATCGGCGGGGCGGCCGCGGACCGTCGACCCGACCCCAAGAGGGACGGACAGGGGACCGACCACGACGACGACGACGACGACGACGACGTCGAAGACGATGGCGACGACGACGACGACGACGACGACGACGGCGACGACGAGCGAAAGCGAGAGCGAGAGAGAACGACAGCAGGGCCACGAAGGGCACGAAGTAGGCCACTAAGGGCGACAGCGGGGACAGGAAGGGAATGCGATGGGGCCACGAAGAGCGCGAACAAGCGGGGACCACGAAGTGCAGATAATGCGGGGCCACAGAAGGCAACTATGGGGCCACTGAGGGTAGCAACTGGGCCACGTACAGTGAGGGGGACACATGGCGACAGCGGGGCCACGAAGGGCATGTACATGGGGCCACAACGGGCGCGACTCCTGGTGCCTGGGTGTCGGGAGCGCGGCGCTTGGGCAAATTGCAAGAAATTCCAACGCAAGGCCATTCTTCAGCAAGTCGCAAGCAAGTCTCCAGCGAGAGCGCGACTCCAGAGCGCCGGGAGAGCGATTCCTGAATTAATTGTAAGGAAGTCCCAAGCGAGAGCGCGATTTCTGAATAAAATGCGAGGAAGTCTCGGGCGGGAGCGGGGGTCCTGGCTAAATTGTAAGGAAGTCTCAGGCGGGAGCCGTTGTTATTGTAACCCAGGGGCCAGGGGTCCAGTTTGACCAGGAAGACTTTCCCTGTCAAAAAACAGGGTGCGAGCGTCGAGGGGCACACTTTGATTAAGAAAAACAGTATGCACCTGTGGGGGGGGATCAACAATAAGTATTCTTCAGAAATGAGACTTCAACAACAACAACAACAACAACAACAACAACAACAACAACAACAACAACAACAACAACAAGAACAACAACAACAAAAAACGTCCCCAGAACATGTTTCAAACTATTTTTGCATGTTCCTCCTGTAGAGGGACGTGCCCGACTTAATGATAGCCCTGATGGGCTGGCGGCAGAAGGCCCCGAGAGGGCCTAGGGACAGAGAAGGAGGCGAGAGCTGTGCTCACCGCGCTGGCTCAAGGAAAAAAAGATCTCCACATTCTGCCCATGATAAAAGCAAATATTGCAGCCCCAGGAACGGGGATACAAAAAAACAAAGCATTAAAAAAAGCTATAAAAAACGGTGGAACGTACATGCACACATAAACAAGCACAAGAGATCCTACACGGCCATGTAGCATGTACACGATTGCTGTGCTGTCGCCTCCCTGCAGCGTTCCTGTACCACTCCCTCTGGCACCCCTGCCGCTTGCTGACGCTATTCGCGCAGTGCGCCTATGGCACTACCAGAGCGTTCATGTACTCCAGATTTCGTAATAAAGGGGAGGGGGTCTGGACCCTCCAGGACAAGCCATTTCAGACCCCCCCCCCGTGGGAGAACCCTCCAAAACACCGTCCCCAGACTCCCCCCAGGCCCTCCAAGATGGCCTGGAAGAGACCCCCCCCGAAAAATGAGACCCCCCTCCCTCTATTACGAAATCTGGTGTACCATTTCTCGAGCATCCATGTGGCAGCTGGAACCCTCAGGGGCACCGTGGAATCCCGAGATCACTCGAGGAACCCCGAGGACGACCCCGGCAGGACCGCGGGGCCGGGCGCCTGCCGCCCCTGCGCGCCCTCTTCGGCCCCGCCCCACCGCGGGGCGCCCCCGGCGCCGCGGCGGGACTCCCTTCGAGGCGATGCCAGAGCGCACCCCTCGGGATCCACCAAAGCGTTGAGGATGCCCTGACAGCGGTCACCCCAAGAATTGCATCGATTGAGTTGAGGATGTGTGGAACATGTTTGACAGTGTCCCACCAATGCTCGAGCCGTGTTTCAACATGTGTACGACAATGTTTGAGCATGTTTATGGCATCTGGGAATTTGTTGGCAACATGCTTCCTCTCCATTGATCGTCGTCCACAACCAAAGCGGCGGTGACCATGAGAGGGGGCATGAGTTCGATCCGCTGGTGCACCGAACTGCCGCAAACAGATGCCCCCCGCATGCCCACCTGTCCGCAACCATCGGGAGCTGCCTGCGGCTGGTGGGCATCTGTTTTGGGCGGCTCGGTGCCAAAACCGATCGAATTCACACATTTTTTGATCTGCAGGGCGAGAGCGAGCCTCTTCCGCTAAAAGCTCCGCGGGACGCGCACAGCTTGAATTGGCAGAGAAAGGGCGACCGAACTCTCACACACACACAGGGGCACACACACCCTCTGCGTGATCCTGAACCCCGTGACGGGTGCTAGTCGACGTTCTTACGGTGACGAGCCCAAGGCTCCTGTCGGGGGCATCCACGAGGCGCCCAAGAGGGGGGGTCGCAGATCGCAGCCCCGGGCACGTGTGCGGCCCATGGGGGGGGGGGGGGGGCAAGGGACCTACTGGAAGACGAAAAAGGGGCCCTGAGCTCCTGGGAACACATCATGGCCCCGGCCGTGATATCCATCCCCCCGCAGGCATCCATCACCCCCCCCTTGGCCGCCTCCGGCTCCAGCGGCTCGGCGGCATGGGAGCGGTTTCCGGGGCCCCCCAGGCTGGAACAGACACCCCAGGATGAAAAACAGCCCAGGGGTTGGGGTCGGGATCCCAGACGTCCTAAGAGGGCTCCCTCCCAGAGGGGTCTTGGAGGGCCCGAGGGAGCCCCAAGACCGCCCAAGAGCGCCCCATGAAAACTTCGAGACGGCTCCAAGAGACCCCCAGGGCGGCTTCGAGGGGCCTGCAGCGGCGGGCCTCAAGACAGCAAGAGGGCAATGGGTGGCCCCTCAGAGGGCCCAAGAGCGCCCCAAAAGAGCCCCAAGAGAATCCGTCGCGGTGGACACCATATGATCCCGTAGTCGCCCGGACAACACTTCCGAAAATCAGACTTGAACTACAGTCAAGCGAGATAACATCCACTAGTGGACACACATGTTTAGCGCCTCAACACAAAAGGGAACGTAGACGGAGCCCCGATCTCCCCACAACTAGCCGAGCGGATGTGCGCACGATGATGTGCACTTTTGTCGTGCGGAAACACGTGTGCAAGGCTAACAGACGGGCCGGCAATGCGTTAATGATTGCGAAGCGGGCAGCACGCCGAACTCGGCCATGAAATTCGGATCGACCAACTTCAGCCACCCACACGCCCCCAAGAAACTCTACCGTTGGCTACACGTATGCAGCATGATGCACGTGTTAGTTACAACGACAATGCCTGCATCAGTGCCCATCATAAGGAAACCACTGATGTTCGCACGCGGGATGAACTTTCATGTCAAAGCATTAAAACTCGAAGAGCGTGCACTCTTCAGTGCGCCACCCCGTACGCCACTGCGACATCGCGACTCATGCTGTCATCAAGGCCTCCCCAGGCGCTCGATGAACCCACGGCCAGCTGGCGACAAGAGCCCCCGCTCGCTCACACGGACGCCACGCCGGCCCCGTTCGTGACAGACGCAGGCTCGTAGACGTGTGCGGCAAAGAGAGCCTTGGCAGGACGCGAGCACAACAGTGTTTTCCGCTCTCGCTGTGTCTTCGCCTTCCCTCGCTCTGTCCTCGCCCCGCCGCCGCGGCACAGAGAGGTCGAGACGAAAACGGCCCACGACATCGCCAAAACACTGTTTCGCTCGCGCCCTGGAACCCTGAGGTCCTCCTCGGACTCCTCGCCCTCGTCCAGCCCCATCGTCGCGAGCCTGCCCTCTCCGGGCGCCATGCCGACCTCGTCCGCATACGCGCTGATGCGTGCCTGCACCGCCTCGGCGCTCGCCTCGGAGCTCGCCTCGACCTTCGACTGCACCTTTGCCTCCGCCTTTGCCTCGGCCAGTGCCTCGGCTTTTGCCTCGGCTTTTGCCTCGGCCTTTGCCTCGGCCGTTGCCTCGGCTCTTGCCTCCGCTCTTGCCTCCGCCTTTGCCTCGGCCTTCGCCTCGGCCTTGGCCTCGGCGCCGAGGTGGCTGGCCGCCTCGGAGAGGGCGCCGCTGCCCATCTCGGACGCGAGCTGCAGCTCGGACAGCACCTGCAGCGCCTGGGTGTCGAGCGCGAGGGTGCTGCGCCGAGCGCCCACCTGACCGGCCATGAGGACCCCAGCGGCGAGGGCACGACCAAGCACGATCGCCATGGCCTGATGGGCGAACGAAGGTCGCCAGGAATGGAACGAACGAAGGTCGCCTGATGGGCTGACGAAGATCGCCGGCGGCGCCCCTGGGCGGAAAAGCACCGGGGGCGGGCCTCCTCGGAGGGCTCAGAGGCCTCGAGCCTTCCGAGAATCTTTGCAGGCCTCCTCCGAGGCCAAGTGGGGGCTCCTCGGGAGGCCCGAGGGGCCCTGAGAAGCCCCGCCGCCTTCCGAGGAGGCATGCCCCCCTGTCGCTCCCCCCGGCGGCGCGCCGCCGACCGATAGAAGTAAGCAAGGGATCGACTGGTGGAGATAGGCTTGAGCCCAACGGCCAGAGCCCAGGAGCTGTCGGACTCCAGGCCAGGGAGCACGGACGGCTCCGGGGACGCCCGACCACGCCTCTGTGCCGAATCCTGGCCAGGCCGAGTCTGGCCCCAGGGTCTCGCTCCTCGAGCCTCTCCTCGATCCTCGAGCCCGCATCCTCCGTCCCTCCTCCTCGGTTCTCCCCCGGTGCTCGACCCAGCACCCAACGCCACTCCAGGGTCGTCCCCCTCCAGGGTCGGCGGCCCTGGCCGTGAGGCCTTTGCAGCCAACCTCACTCGGCGGCGAGCGGGGGGGGGAAGGCGAGGAGGGGCGGGCCTTCCCGGGAGGATCGGAGGTCCCCCGGGCCTTCCGAGGGGCCTCCCGGGCCTCCCCCGAAGGCACGGCGGGCTGCTCAGAGGGCGCGGGGGCTTCCGGGAAGTCCCGCCGCCCTTGTGGGGAGGCCCCCATCCCTCTCGCTTCCCCCCCTCGCTCGCCGCCGCTTGGGGGCGCGCCGGTGTGCAGATCCACCGCTCCCCGAGGGGTCGGCGAGATCCCGAGGCGCGACGGTGAGGCGGGGAAGGAGGAGGAGAAGGAGGAGGAGGAGGAGGAGGAGGAGGGGAAAGGGGAGGAGGAAAGGGGATGAGGAGGAGGAGGAGGAGGAGGAGGAGGAGGAGCTGGACGTATTCAGGCGGTGGATCTCTCCCTCCCTCAGCCATCCCTGCCAAGGTCGTCAAGGGCTTAGCGACCTCGGTTGCGCATCGTCTCGCGCTGGAGCTTCCACGATCCCTCCCGATGCATGTGGCAATACCTCTTTACTTGTCTCGCTCCGTCTGGAGCTGCACCGAGCTGCACCGACCCGCCTCGACCCATCCAGCTCTGCACCCGCAGGCCGACTGGAAAAAGCCGTCACCAGAAGAAGAAGATAGGGGACCACATGCGAACCCTACCCCGACCCCCCACGATTTCTGAGGGGGAGGGTGGGGTTCACTTCGTTCGGGAGCTCTCGAGCGAAGTGAACCCCACCCTCCCCCTGAGAAATCGTGGGGGGTAGGGGTAGGGTTCGCATGTGGCCCCCTAGAAGAAGAAGGAGAAGAAGAAGAAGAAGAAGAAAAAGGAGAAGAAGAAGAAGAAGCAACGCCCAAGCATACGCACCCGGGGTCCGTGCGCATGTCTTCGATCGGCGCTGGACCCCCCACCCTGGCGCGCTGGGGACGGCGCCCGCAAGCCCACCAGGGGAGTCTGGGACGGATCCAAGAGATCCGCCCGGGCATCCCAAACGTTTGGTGGGTTTCTTTTCCACCATGCGCGTGCCGCTCCCAGCTTCGACGGAGAAAATGAAGGGGCCCTGGGACACAAATAAATAGACACAAATAAAAAGATTCCCCATATTTCCCCATATTTTCCATGTTTTTGTCTTCCCCACCACTCCCCGTATTTTCGTATATTTCCTGGGAATCGACGATTCATTGTGTCTGTGTGTTTTTGTTTCCCTCCTGAGAGAAGGACG